TCCAATAAGACAGGGATATCATGAGCTCTTGGTCAGTCTTTCTGACTCCAATCATCCCATAGGTATCCAGAATGATCTTTAAAAAATCTTTTTTAAAATTGTTTATTGATTTTTAGAAAGAGAGGGAAGGGGCGGGGGAGAGGGACAGGGACATATCCTCAGGTGAGGATTTAAAAAAAGAAAAATGTTTGCTGGATGAAAGTATTACAGCCAAAAACAAATGGAATATATCTTTCTTTTTAAATTGCAATTTCAATATTCATCCCTATTTTTTCCCCAGGGTTGGGGACAAGTAATATAAATGAGAATAGGAAAAGAGAGGACAAAAAAAGAGATGATCATCTTGAATGGGAAATAATACTGGAGTTTTTAAATATAGATGCCTTACACCACCACTGTGCATGAGCCTTTTCAAGTGAGTAGGCTCTCCCTAGCTTAACCTAACACTCACTTTATCATCTCCTGGCAGCAGGCATCAGCAGCTTGGAAGGACGGGTCCTAATCTACCTGGACATTATTACTTATTACTCCATGCCAAATACTAAAACAAAAGTGAGCTCCAAAAACCACTTTGAGCTTAACTTCAAATAAAGAGATACACAGACTACTTTAAAGAATGTCAATGGTGTAGCAGCTGACAAACTCAGTGTTTGTAAGATCTCATTAGTGAAAACCTCTCTAAGAACAGACATTATTTATTTGGGATAGGTTATCTGTGTAATTTGAATACTGCACTCTGCCAACAAATTTCAGCATATGGAAAACTATTTTTACTTTTTTAAAATATATTTTATTGATTTTTTACAGAGAGGAAGGGAGGGATAGAGTTAGAAACATCGATCAGCTGACTCCTGCACACCTCCTACTGGGGATGTGCCCGCAACCAAGGTACATGCCCTTGACCGGAATCGAACCTGGGACCCTTGAGTCCGCAGGCTGACGCTCTATCCACTGAGCCAAACCGGTTAGGGCTGGAAAACTATTTTTAAATGTGAATGCAGCTATGAGGATTATGGCTTCTTTTTAAATAGAAATAATTACATTTTTTAGAAATTATAACAAAAGCTATCAATCTCAGTTGTGTGTTTTTTAACACCCAGATAATCTAAAAATGTGCAATTCTTTAATCATTGGTTCAAATAATTAACTTTACATTAGGATAATGTCTGGCCCACAGAAGTTCCTCAATAATTATTTATTGAAAAAACGAACAAATAGTAATATATTTTTCAAAATGATTGTTTTAAAACTGCTATTTATAATGATATTATTCCAACATCAAGGCCAGCAATGTAATGACATTTTTTTAAAGTATATCCATCCCTTAAAATTTAACACTGACAATCAGTACACTGCCAAAGGCCATGCAGGAGACAGAAGAATTCCAGGTGTTTTCTTTCAGAGTTTGAAGTGAATAGGTGATACTCCAGATAAATAAGACGAGAAATGTGGATGCGCAAAAAGAAAACTGAGGCATGACTTATATAATTCCGTCATTAGGAACCCCCTGAATTAAGCCTCATATTACCTACTACCAAATACTTCATCTCTAATCCATCCTCACATGGCAGCCTGCAGAGTGGATATTCTAAAATATACATCTAGGCACTTCCAGTCAAAGTAGCAGACTAAGGAAACGCTGTGCTCATTCCTCCCATGACCACATCAATATTACAACGTATAGAACAACCACCCTTGAGAACCACCTGAAGAGGAGCTAAACAGAACTCCTATGACTAAAGATATAAAGAAGAAACCTCAGCAAGACTGGTAGGAGGGATAGCAATGCAAAACAGGCTGATCCCACACCTATTTGCAGTGGTGAAAAATTGGAAGGGATATCTTGCCTGGTGGTCCCAGCCCCATACCAGATTCCCCAGCCTGGAGCACCAGTGCCAGGAACAGGAGTCCCCAAAACATCTGGCTGTAAAAATCAGCGGAGACTGTCCAGATGAGAAGGGGGACTGCTATAGACCCAGGCATCCTCTTAAAGGGCCTGAGCACAGACTCACTCATGAACACTCGCCCTTAGCTTCAGTAAAGGGACAGCACTCCAAAAGTACCAAGGGAGGAACTGAATTATCTGGCTTCAGGGTGAGGGTTGAACAGGCACCTCTCTACAGGACTGAAGGGCTGGCAGGCACCATTATTCCTTTGTTAAGCCCACACCGGCCCAGCCTGCATATGCAGGTGGGCGCCAAATCTAAGATCTCCATTAAATGGCTAACCTCAGGTATCCCACTCTGATGACTCCCTTAGGCCTTGCCCTACCTAACACAGGCAAGGGCCCAAAACTCTTTCAGAGGCTGTTTCTCCTAAGTGGCTGGGCTTGGCCCATGCTGCAGACTTTTCTAAAATCTCTCAAAGGTCCACAAACCCCAAATGAGCAGTGCATGGCCTTGATGTGCCCTGTATCTCATGCTAAGTAACCCCACAGCATAGCCTCTCCCAGATGTCTCCAAGCCCATCACTGGTGACTACCAACCACAGGATTACTTGTAGCTCCCATTAGGTGGTTCCAGGCCAGGCACTGGTAGCAACTGACCTGGGGCTGTACCTGAGCCCTACCTAAAAGGCCCCAGAACCAACACACCTGTTGGCTGGCTTTATACCACACCAGAACACTACCCAATGAGCTCCATAAATGCCATACCCAAAGGGTGGAATCAAAAGGCATTGGACTGCACTAAAATAAACCCTGCTCTGTGGGGTTAGCACTTGCACAAAAGCTTATCTGCTGCAGTTGCAACCAGTTCTCATAGCCATTGAGCCTGAGGGGCAATCCTACCTACTGACATGCTAAGAGCAATCAAAGCTCAACTACAACAGACGGGCACACACAATGACACAAGGAACACACACTACTGGACCAGGAAGACTATGCCACTGGTCCCCATTGGACACCTACTAACTATATAAGGCCACCATGCCAAGATTAGGAGACATAGCAGATCTACTTAATACATAGAAACAAACACAGGGAGGCAGCCAAAATAAGACAAAGAAATGTCCCAAATGAAAGAAGAGGACAAAACTCCAGAAAAAGAACTAAATGAAATGGTGGCAAGCAATCTATTAGATACAGAAATAAAAAAAAAAAAGTGGGAGTAAAGATGCTCAGGGGCCTGGCCGGCATGGCTCAGTGGTTGAGTGTCAACCTATAAACCAGGAAGTCATGGTTCAATTCCCAGTCAGGGCACATGCCCAGGTTGGGAGCTCGATCCTCAGTGTGGGGTGTTCAGGAAGCAGCCGATCAATAATTCTCTCTCATCATTGATTTCTCTCTCTTTCTCTCAATTCTCTGAAATCAATAAAAATATATATATTTTAAAAGATGCTCAAGGAACACAGGGGAAATATTGATGAACTCAGTGAGAATTAACACAAAGAGACAGAAATCATAAAAAAGAACCAGTCAGAAATCTAATCTAATAAAAGAGAAACATGCAAATTGACCGCACCTCCACTATACCCCAAGCCATGCCCACCAGCCAATCAGAGCAACTATATGCAAATTTACCCAACCAAGATGGCGGCCAGCAGCCACGGAGCTGGAGCAAGCAGGAGGCTTGGGTGCCCCAGCAATGGAGGAAGCCAAGCTTCCCTCCTGCCCTGGCCGGCTGTGGCCTCCGCTCAAGTCAACAAAGTTTCAATTATAGAAGATAAATAAATCCCAGATACCTGCTTCCAGCCAGCCTCCACTGGGAGCTTGGGTGGCTGGGGGCCGTGGCCAGCCTGCAAACAGCCATTAGCCCCTCACCCAGACTGGCCAGGCACCCCAGCAGGAACCCCAACCCTGAAGGGGCTTTGGCCAGCCTGCAAACAGCCATCAGCCCCTCACCCAGGCTGGCCAGGCACCCCAGCTGGGACCCCCACCCTGAAGGGGCTGTGGCCAGCCTGCAAACAGCCATCAGACACTCACCCAGACTGGCCAGGCACCCCAGCAGGACCCCCCTCCCTGAAGGGGGTGTGGCCAGCCTGAAAAATGGCCCTCAGCCCCTCACCCAGGCTGGCCAGGCACCCCAGCGGGACCCCCACCCTGATCCGGGACACCCTTCAGGGCAAACCAGCCGGCCCCCACCCATGCACCAGGCCTCTATCCTATATAATAAAAGGGTAATAAGCAAATTGACCCTAACAGCAGAATGACTGGGAATGACTGGTCACTATGACACACACTGACCACCAGGGGGCAGACGCTCAATGTAGGAGCTTCCCCCTGGTGGTCAGTGTGCTCCCACAGGGGGAGCTCTGCTCAGCCACAAGCCAGGCTGACGGCTGCCAGTACAGCGGTGGTGGTGGGAGCCTCTCCCGCCTCCTCAGCAGTGCTAAGGATGTCCGACTGCAGCTTAGGCCTGCTCCCCGCTGGCAAGTGGACATTTCCCAAGGGCTCCCGGGCTGCCAGAGGGATGTCTGACTGCCAGCTTAGGCCCAATCCCCTGGGGAGTGGGCCTAAGCCAGCAGGTGGTAATCCCCCAGGGGTCCCAGACTGCGAGAGGGCACAGGCCGGGCTGAGGGACCCCCCAAATGCACAAATTTTTGTGCACCAGGCCTCTAGTTAAGAATATAAGAACTGAAATGAAGTTTACAACAGTAGAGCCCTAGCCGGTTTGGCTCACTGGATACAGCATCGGCCTGTGGACTGAAGGGTCCTAGGTTCGATCCCCAGTAGGGGTTGTGCAGGAGACAATTGATCAATGATTCTCTCATCATTGATGTTTCTATCTCTCCCTCCTCTCTGAAATCAATAAAAAAAAAAAGAGTACAACAGTAGATTAGATGAAGCAAAGCATGAAATCAGTAATTTGGAAGACAAAGTAGCAGGTGTTTCATACTTGCCAAGTAAACAGCAGGACTTTTTATGATGTGAGTTAGAATATATAATTTGATTGTCCAACTTTTGCTCCATGGAGCAATATAAACCATCTCTCCAGGGAAATAAATAATTTGGCTAACTTTAAATACTACTTAAATACTACTTATATGGCATTTGCACTTACCTAAGTTGCTATATATTGCACTACAAGGATTCAGGTCTATAGGATCTGAAATGTCTTCTTTTTCCTCTTCCCTTTCCAGTTCAGGTATGGGCAATGCTGGTGTGCAGCTTCCACCATCTTGCTTCACAACAACAGTTCTTGGATCCCAAGGAGAAAAATCCTCTGTCACTTCATGGCTCACATGACTGAAATAAATCAGACCACTGTCACACTGGTATTTAAAGGTCGTGCTAACAAAATGAACTGACCAACAAAATAAGACCTGTAGCGTGGAGGGATGGAACAGACTGACATACCTCAATATGGGATGGGAGGATGAGGACAGATAACCAAAGAACTTATATGTATAGCCCATGGACACAGACAATAGGGTGATAAGTCCTGGGGGGTGGGTAGGGGGTGGGCGTAGGGAGTAGGAAATGGGATACATCTGTAATACTATCAATAATGAAATAAATATAACAATATAAATAAATAAAGAATATCTCTATATCTAAAAAGTAAATTAATAAAAATAAAGGTCTTCCTAAATTTAGATTTATGGAAGGCATATACTTGCCATAAATGTAAATACCTGGCCCAATAATCCAGCAATGGGTCATAAGCCACAACATGCTTGTGTGAATATAAGGCAGTCCTTCATGCAGATTGATACTTCTATTTATCTTGATTCATAGATATTGATCATTCAGTTTGGTAGAGGAGGTATGATAGTCTCAGAAGGAAGATGGAGAATAGCAGGTAAGAACTGCAATAATTTTTTTTAAAGGTAGGAGGTGGCAATTACAGTGGTGGTAGAGGGAGTTGAATGCTTAATTGATTAAAGACAAATATACTCAAGTATTGAGCATATTTACTATATGATAGTACTACAATACTAAAATATACATCAAACACTTTACTATTTAGTATATAGTATTTACTGCACACTAAAGTATTTCCTAAGGTATTTAGTAAAGAATCAGAAATAAAGTTGAGTTAGACTACAGTGGAACCTCCTTTCTCGAACTTAATTAATTTCCAAAGACTGTTTGAGAAGTGATTTGTTCAAAAACTGGATTCTTTCTTCCAATTAGAAATAATGTAAATAGAATTAATCCATTCCAAACCCCTAAATGATTCCGTTTTAACTTTTCTTATATACAGTGCATGCCTAATGTAATACACACACACACACACACACACACACACACACACACACACACACACACTAGTGGCCCACTGCACAGATTCACGCAATAGGCCCTCCTTCCCCTGGCTGCCGGCACCAGTCTTCCTCCGGGACCCGGGATTCAGGTTTTTGGTCGAGCCGCAGCAGCGAGACTTGGCTTCTCCGCTCCGGCTGCTCGCAGCCCCTCCTTTTTTTTTCCAGCTACTCGAGCGGAGGCCAGGGCTGGCTGGAAGCCTGGGTCACCCCCTGGCGATCCAGATCCCCAGCCACTCCTTGAGCAGAGCCCAGGCCCCAGCCACTCCTTGAGCGGAGTCCAGGGTGGGCTGGAAGCCAGGCCCCCAGCCCCTCCTTGAGTGGAGCTCAGGGCAGGCTGGAAGCCTGGGTTGCCCCGGCAACCCAGGCCCCCAGCCACTCCTTGAGCGGAGTCCAGGGCCGGCGGGAAGCTTGGCTTCCTCTGTCGCCGGGAGCAACCCAAGCCTCCTGCTTGCTCCAGCTCTGTGGCCGCTGCCATCTTCAGTCATCTTCAGTATTTGCTCCACGCCTGCGTATGCAATTAACTGCCATCTTTGTTGGGTTAATTTGCATAGTTGCTCTGATTGGCTGGTGGGTGTAGCAGAGTGGCGGAGTGATTGTTAATTTGCATGTTCCTCTTTTATTAGTGTAGATATATATAGAGAGAGAGCCAGCCACCATAACAGCCATAACGCCCACTGTGGCCAGCGAACCAGCCGATCAGGGGATGGGGCCGGCCGGCCAACGTCACAGCCACTCCCCCCTGCCAGCCTGCCCCTGATTGGATTCTCCCACCCTGATCAAGGGTGGGGCGGCTGACCAAACGCCCCTCCTTTGCCCCAACCACCAGCCCCACCCCCGATCAGCCAGCCCTACCATGATAGCGCCGCAAGCTCCTCCCCTGGCTGGCCCGCCCTGATTGCACCCCCCCCCTTAATAGGGGGCAGGGCTGGGTGGCCAACCTCCTGCAGCCCCTACCCCTGTCTGCCCCACCGCTTATCGAAATAAAAGCATTCTCTACTTTGTTGACAGAGAGACACTTTTTGTCACGCTGAGGTTGTCAGGTAGAAAACCGAAGTTTTGGTTGAAAAACCGAGACATTTCTTTCTGTGAACTTGGTTGAGAACCAAATTGTACAAGATGGGAGATGTTCAAGAAACGAGGTTTTGAAAAGATAAGGAGGAAAAAAAAAGACTCAAGCACAGCAGCAACTGGAAAAAAAAAAAACACACTTAAAAAGCAGGAAAAGAGCCTGAGGGGGCTTTGGGGCAAAATGAAATGAAACAACATCTGCATAATAGAAGTGCCAGAACTAGAGGAAACAGCAAGGAATAGAAAACCTGTTTGAAGAAATAATGACAGAAAACTTCACTGATTTGGGGAAGAAAAAAGTCACACAAGGAGAGAAACCAAGATGGTGGCATAGGTAAACACCGGAAATTGCTGCCTCCCACAACAAATTCAAAAATACAACTAAAAGACAAAACGGACATCATCCAAACCAACAGGAAGGCTGGCTGAGTGGAAATTCTATAACTAGAAGGAAAGAGAAAAGCACAGTGAGACTCAGAGGAGGTGCGGAAGTGTAGAGGTACGGAGGCGCATACGGCAAGGGCTGGCAACCAAGGACGCGGCTGTTTTTTGAATCGGGAGGGAGTCACAAGCCCCCGACTCCAGCTCTGAACTCCAGTTCCGGGTGAGTCTCTGGGGACCCAGACTCATACCGGGAGAAACTGGACTGTCTGGCAGCGGGCAGAACTGGGAACTCGAGGGCCGCTTTCTCTCAAAGGTGCTTGCAGCGATTACTGGGACACTGAGACGCGGGGCCCCTTAGGGCAGGGCTGAGGATCAGCCATAGCTGCTTGCTCCGCCCTGTTGATTCCCTGAGACCCCGCTCCACCCAAGTTGTGGCAGAAGCTTTTGCATATGAATGCCCTGGCCCAGGGGTCCTCAAACTATGGCTCACGGGCCACATGCAAATACAAATATTGTATTTGTTCCCGTTTTGTTTTTTTACTTCAAAATAAGATATGTGCAGTGTGCATAGGAATTTGTTCATAGTTTTTTTTTAAACTATAGTCTGACCCTCCAACGGTCTGAGGGACAGTGAACTGGCCCCCTGTTTAAAAAGTTTGAGGACCCCTGCCCTGGCCCTTTGCAATCTGAAAATTACCTAACAAACTGCAGCTGGGCCAGATAGACCCAGAACTTCCAAGAGAAGGCTCAAGGACCGACAGCAGCTCGCATTGCTTCACAACTGGGCCTCATTTTGGCACCTCCAAACCCCAAACAAGGCAGGGGAATCTGCAGAACTCCTCATAGCTCCTGCTGGGTAGCCTCAGGCAGAGGCTAAATTAGCACCTCCTTAGATCCAAGAGCCAGTGTACCCAGTGGTCAGAGAGGAACCATCCAATTACAACTCCTCAGATCCATAAAGGACACACTCAGGGGGCAGACTCAGTGAGCACCAAAGACCCACTGGAGCAAGTCTTGCCTCATAAGGGTGTCTTCAGCACAGAAGTTCTCCCACCGTAGACACAGCTGACTCTCACAGCCAATTGACCTGGAGGTGAATTCCTCCCAGTGATACCTACAACAATCAAGACTTAACTACAACAAGACTGTGCACAAAGCCCACAAAGGGGTGCACCAAGAGTGTCCACCTCAGGTAATTGGGGAGGCTGAACCACTGGGCCCTATAGGACACCTAGCACACAAAGCCACTCTACCAACACAGGGAAGCATAAAAAATGAGGAGACAAAGAAACAGGTCACAAATGACAGAAATGGAGGAAAGCAAACAACTGGATATAGAGTTCAAAACCACACTTTTAAGGTTTTTCAAGAACTTTCTAGAAGCCGCCAATAAATTTAGTGAGACCCTCAAAAAGACTGGTGAGACCGCCGATAAATGTAGTGAGACCCTCAAGAAATCTAGTGAGACCCTCGAGGTTATGAAAAAGGACCGAGTAGAAATTAAGCATACACTGACTGAAATAAAGGATATTATGCAGAGTTCCAACAGCAGACTAGAGGATCGCAAGAATCAAGTCAAAGATTTGAAATACGAAGAAGCAAAAAAACACCCAACCGGAAAAGCAAAATGAAAAAAGAATCCAAAAATACGAAGATAGTGTAAGGAGCTTCTGGGACAGCTTCAAGCATACCAACATCCGAATTATAGGGGTGCCAGAAGAAGAGAGAGAGCAAGATATTGAAAACCTATTTGAGGAAATAATGACAGGAAACTTCCCCTACCTGGTGAAAGAAATAGACTTACAAGTCCAGGAAGCACAGAGAAAAGGAATCCCCAAACAAAAGGAATCCAAAGAGGACCACACCAAGACACATCATAATTAAAATGCCAAGAGCAAAAGACAAAGAGAGAATCCTAAAAGCAGCAAGAGAAAGAAAATCAGTTACCTACAAGGGAGTACCCATATGATTGGCAGCTGATTTCTCAACAGAAACTTTGCAGGCCAGAAGGGAGTGGCAAGAAATATTCAAAGTGATGAATACCAAGAACCTACAACCAAGATTACTTTATCCAGCAAAGCTATCATTCAGAATTAAAGGTCAGATAAAGAGCTTCACAGATAAGGAAAAGCTAAAGGGGTTCATCACCACCAAACCAGTATTATATGAAATGCTGAAAGGTATTCTTTAAGAAGGGGAAGAAGAAGAAAAAGGTAAAGATACAAATTATGAACAACAAATACACATCTATCAACAAGTGAATCTAAAAATCAAGTGAATAAATAATCTGATGAACAGAATAAACTGGTGATTATAATAGAATCAGGGGCATAGAAAGGGAGTGGACTGACAATTCTCAGGGGGAAAGGGGTGTGGGGGATGCGGGAAGAGACTGGAAAAAAATCGTGCACCTATGGATGAGGACAGTGGGGGGGGTGAGGGTGGGGGGGGCAGGAACCGGGTGGAGGGGAGCTATGGGGGGAAAAAAGAGGAACAACTGTAATAATCTGAACAATAAAGATTTAA